GGATGCATTGTATATTGAGATGGATTGAGAATGTTGATAGAGTAACATTGTAGATGGGTACAAATCAAGAATTTTTTACACTACTTACAATTTTTATCATGTCACTTAGTGTCACACTTTTGTTCATAAGATTTAAGAAAATTAAATTTTGTACAACTGCATCACAGTCTAAATAGAAGACAATTGAATTATCAATTTTTTATCTGTCTTTGAATGGCTGAATTTTTGTATAACTTTTTTAAGTAACAGCTGTGTCTTCTTTCTTCCAGAAAATGGGTCTTGAAAATGAAGCAGCATTGATAGTTCAACAGAAACATACTACTAAACTGACTATGGATAGATTAAAAATGGTGGCAGGAATTCCAGTAGAATCACCAGAGAGCAAGAAATGATATCATGGTGTCAGTGTTTTCTTATTGGCATAGCTACATTTTTTCATGGATTGGTATTGAATGGATTGTGTTCCTTGTAGCTAAGTTGATTTTATTTGTGTAAATAGTCACAAAGATTATTTTAGGAGTGAACAATGTCAACTCTAAAGCCACTTCAGTTGACCCTAGCCATCCTTAAGCCTGATATTGTAGCCCAGCCTCATATTGTCCGTCAAATTAAAAATGTAATTCTCAGACATGGATTTTATTTTGTCCGATCCAAACTTCTCACTTTAACTCGAGCTAAAGCTGAAGAGTTCTACAAGGAGCATGATGGCAAATTTTTTCACAACCGATTAGTTAGTTTTATGTCCAGTGGTCCAATTAGCGTCCACATCTTAGCACGTGAAAATGCTATTGCAGAGTGGCGAAAGTTAATGGGTCCCACAAAAGTATTACGTACAATTTATGAAAATCCAGAGTGTATCAGAGGACAGTTTGGCTTGACAGACACCAGAAATTCCACCCATGGATCCGACTCACCTGAGAAGGCTAAGTGTGAAATAAATTTTTTTTTCTCAGAGTTTGACATACAAGTCTGGGAAATCAACGAGGCACCTTTATTCAGTAATAGAAAAGTGGAGTTTGATCCAGTTAAAGGAGTCCATATTTTTGTGGACCCTAAGTAGTGAAATTAATATGACCTTGCTAGTGAATGTAACTAATCAAATTAAAATGTCTTTTTTATCTGTTGATGATCTATATTTTACAGTGGGATTTATGAAAATGTTTGTGACATTTTGGTTAATGAAAACTGATAAAAGTATAGGGGACAAAACTCTTGATGTTACTTCAGCATGCTGTTAGTGTCTTTATACCTAAAAACTACTTTTGTATAAAGGTAGTTGTGATACAAGGCTGAGTTACATGGCATTGTCTTAAACCAGCTGTAACAATTATAACGGAAAAATCAGTTAGGATTACTTATAATAAAGGAAATGAAAAGATTAAGTATTTTTCTTAATTATTTTAAATGAAAAATCTGTTTACAACACATTTTGAAATGACAAAATGATTACATTATTATTTGTTGAATCAATGTGTTTTAGCATATAACAAACTTCAGGAGGCATGCAGTATAAGATGTGATCAAGATTTCAGTGATAGAGAAAATTTGTATGCTTTTTCTAGATTTGCAAGAACAGAGATGTGAACAAAAATTATAAAACCATTGAAAATTATACAGCATTGAGCAAAATCACAGCAATTTATAATCTACTGTAAATTGACCTCGATTTTTCTGTGTCCCAATTTCTGTGCAAGTTCACTAATAATGTGGAAGTGATGCAAGTAATATGAAGAGATCAGACCACTAATTGATTTCCCAAAAAAACCTCATTTGAATATATTAAAAGTTTGAATACAAATCGCGGATACTTACATTCATTGAAGTTAGACACATTTGTTTCAGCCTTAAAAATCGCATGTTTGGCATTATTTTTTATTTTAGCCTTGTACTACTTAATACTTAACTCCATGGTCTGCATCAAAAAACATATCATCACAACAAATGCTGATATCCTAGTAGTTAGTAGGAAATTAAAGACATATCAAAACAAAGGTAAATATCTTGCTCTTGAATACACAACTGAAATTCATAACTGAAGAAAATTAGATCAATTAAATCTATTTACAAGTCAAGGGATGTATCAAAAAAATTTTAAAGCTCTATTTTATTCTTCCAAATAGTGTATATATATATATATATATATATATATATATATATATATATATATATATATATATATGTGTGTGTGTGTGTGTGTATTCCTCTATTGATAATCTAAAGATCATTAATTAGGGGTGGGGTGGGTAAGAATATTTTAAGTATACAAAATAATGATAATGTAAAGTCAACAGATGATAAGAATGAATATTGCATATCAAGAAATGTGTACCATGTTCCAACATTATAGATATTGATAACTGAATAAACACAGTAATTTGAATAGTTTGTCTCATGTTTTTATTAAATTCCTGTGTCTGACATACTCATGTGTATGCATGATATATACAGCTATTGGAAAGGTATAATATAAAATTATACATCGCCATTTGTATTGGCTTCCTGTGCAAAGATTTTGGATGCCTAAAATATTCTTAATTAGACCTTTAGTTTTATTGCATCATTAAAAATGTTTATGGCAGCTAAGAGGTAAATTTTACTATGCAAACTCTTCACATGAGAAATTTATGTGTGAAGGGGTCTGTAATAAAGGTCAAACTTAAATGTAATTAGACTGTAAGGTGATTCTAACTCCTAGGTGCAAAGAAATAATATAAACAATGCAGACTATAATTCTAACAGTTCAAAATAAATACTACACACTGAAACTCGAATTAAAAATTAATCATATTACATTACAGTGTAAAAAATGACATGAGAAAAATCAGTTATTTTTAATAGTAAACACTTTCATTTCAAACCAGAAGATATTTCTCATAACAAATGAGAAAAATGTAGAGGAGGGTAAAAAGATAAAAGCAACATCAGACTTTTTGAGGAAATAAATTTTTAATGCAAATAAAATCAAAACAACCAGGCTCAGGCCCAGGTGCTGAAAAAACACTTGGTACAATACAACTTCCTAAGGTCGACTAACACCAATGACTTATAAGCTGACCTGCAAGCTGGAGACTCAAACAAAGGCAGTATTTAGAAATTAATCATTATTCAGTTTTACAAACAAAGGCAGTAATTAGAAATTATTCATTCAGTTTTACAAATAGCATTTGCATTCAATTTGTTTCTTACTTGCATGTATTGATTCATGCAGATGTCAGACAATATTAAAAAAACAATCCAAAAAAAACCCCAAAAAATAACAAGATAGCACTACACAATGTATGATAAATGGTATATTTTATGAGAAAAGTAATCATTCATAAATTTCATGTTGGGTTATTATGAAGAGCACATGCATGAAATGTGGCAAAGATCTGTTATGAAATATGGAAAACGCATTTGCTGTAAGATGAAACAAATTTTTTCTGAAATTTGATTGGATGATGGATACAATGATATAGTGAATTTAGAAAACACCATTGCCCATACAACTCCAGGTTATTATGTTAATGTTGAAAATGAAACTCATAATAAGAGAATCAACCAACACCAAACGCTGCCTCTATGGTCAATTTCAGGCATCAGAAAGTTGTCAAATGTGCCTGTGGTGTAAATATAACTTTAAGTGGATACCAGTACTTGTGATGAAAATTAAGATCAACAGGGGGTCTGTTGGAACTAATATGATCCATTATGCCATAGTTGCCATTTCAAAAATTTTTACTCGTGGATGGTTTCATAATACATGTGTAGTCTAGTAGGTCCTCAATGAACCTCCAGCTTTATGACTCCTACAACACAACCATAGGTCATATTGATATGGTGTTTTCACCAAAAGGCTGATTATGATGTTCAATTTGATCTGCAATAAAATTGCAGCCTTTCGGACATCAAATATGGTCACAACAAGCATCTTGAAAATCTTGTTTCTGAATTCCTAGATAAAAAGTCATATTGACATAAGGTTTCTACTAACTAGGTCAAAATGAAAATAAGACCAATCTGACATCCAGTATGGCCACCATGATAGCCTTCTTGAAAAAGGATGTTATATTGACCATTTCATATTTAGTTGGACCTAAATGGAAATGGTGCTGATTTGACATGTGATTGTTATGTGGCATATCTTGAATACTCAAATGGTGATTTTAAATAGATAGTCATATCAGCATAGGATTTTCACCAGAAAACGTCTTGTGATTTCTAGTTGATCCTAAAAGAAAATGATGCAGATCTCCAGGCATATTTCAGCACTAGGCAGTTAGTAAGAAAAAACCCAGTCTATTCATGATTTTGTTCAACTGAAAGACTAGTCACATAATATTTTTTTTATCCAAAATTAAGTCTTTCTAGATCCTAAATGTAAGCCATTTGTAACGTTATGTAACTACAGATGGTGGAGAACTCTTACTATGCAGAAACAATTTTTCTTCTTTCACAGTGGCCTTGATTGTTGACTGTTTGACCCTGAAACTGATATGGTTCTTTCTTACCTCAAATGCAAGCCATAGTTTGGTTGCTGTTGGGCTTAATGCCATTTTTGAGCACACGATAGGCTATTCATGGCGGCCAGTATTAATGGTAGAGGAAGAAACCGGGAAATCACCGGAAAGAACCACCGACCCACGAGAAGCTACTGGCAGGCTTTCTCACATATCCACATTCGCCGAATCCTAGACTCAAACTCAAGCAGACAGAGATGAGATGGCAGTGATCCGTAATGGACAGCGCTTTAGACCACTCAGGGGCCCCTCACCATAGTTTGGTAATGATCAATGGCAGATAGCTGGAGTAGTTTTGCAGAAAAGAAATTGGTAACAGTATTTATTGACATAATAATTTGCTTCACTTTATGGCAAATAAAAAGAAATGACCTTCAGCCTGCACAAATTGGAAGACATTTTTGATTATACATTTATTTTATGGAGAACTGTTAATATGGCAGTTTCCTATACTTTACTATGTAATGACCCCTACATGGGGATTGATTTGTAACCAACACTGCCCCAATGGCGTAGTGGTTAGAGTGTCCACCTCAGATGCGAGAGATCGTGGGTTCGAACCCCAGCTGAGTCATACCAAAGACTTTAGAAATGGTACTAACAGCTGCCTTGTTTGGTACTCAGCATTAAGAAGTTAGTGTTAGGACTGGTCAGCCTGGTGTCAGGATAATGTGATGGGTGGGACATCATGCTACATGTCTGCAGCATTATGCCCCAGTGCTAGACATCACTATAAACTGTCACACTGCAGACATCTTAGTAATATGACTGAACAGTTTTTAAAAGCTTCGTTAAAAATCTAAATCACACACACACCACAAGTCATATAATAGAAAATGCATGTCAACCTGTACATTTTTCCAGGTTTCTATATTGCTAGAACCCTAGACTACTAAGAAATATTACATTTTCAATAAGTTAAATGAAGCAACATTTCATCTTTGATCATCTTGAAGATGTCATGAGCAGTAATTTTAGTTTGTCAGTAAGAAACACCTAATGGGATGCGATTGTGATGAAAAATCTTCCCAACACCAACTAGAAATGTGTACATATGCAAAGGATGCCCATGCCAAAATGAATCAAAGGATATAGGTCAGTCAAACTTGAGCCATAAGTAAATAACATTTTGCCAGTAAATGTTAGGAATCAAATTTAAGCCAAGTCTTCTAAATTTTAAACTCTTCTACCAAATTTGGCTTCAATCAATTAAGTCTTTAAAAAATTGCAAATCAAAAATATGAAATGCAAACTGAGCTCAAGATGGTAAAAATTTCATAAAATGTGCTAGAAAATGGTGAAAATCGAACTTAACTAGGTCTTGTTAATCTGAAGCCCATAACAAACATTATTTCATTCCAAGAAGTCCTTTAAAAGTTATTGAGCAAAAGGTTAATAGTTCCATGTTAAAGAGGAGCCATAACTCTTTGAAATTATGCAAGAAAATGGTGAGAATTGAACTTCTAGGTTTACTTACTATAAAGTCTTGCACCAAACTTTATTTCAATTCATGAGGTCTTTTACAAGTTATTGATAGAAACAAAATATTAAGTGGAAGGTTTTAATTTAAACAGACCTATTATTATATATTACAATGACAGTAATTTCTGAATAGACCACACACCTTTTTCTTTCCAAATTGAGTATTGTTACATCTCCTTTCCAATTCGGAAGGTCAACAATAATTTATCAACATACATGATATTAAATTTTCAACAGATATCAGTCAAAAACAAACAAACAAAAAAGTAGACAAAGTTATGATTTTTTTTTTCAAAAGGTAACAGCTTCAAGTCAGATGATCTGTAAAATGTGTTCATGATGCCTAATGATTCTTTTATGAAACATGTACTTTACATTTGTGACAGGGGTCTCTAAATTTACAGTTTGGCCGTTTCAAATCAAGATCTAGAAATGAGTATGGTTTAACATTAACATAAAAAACTAAAGAAAACTTACCAGTCATACTTATATTATTTACTATCTCTAGAATTACTACTAGACTCCTTCCATACACCATCTTGATAAGAAGATATTTTGAATCTAAATGAAATGTGTATATCTGATTAAGTTTACTGTCAGTTTGTAAGAGTATAAAGTGATACATAGAGTACACATCACTCTTTATCCATGAGGGGCCCAGAGTGGCCGAGTGGTCTAAAGCGCTGTCCCTGCCATCTCACCTCTGTCTGCATAGGCTCAAGTCAATGATTCGAGGAATGTGGATATGTTAAAAAGCTTGCCAGTAGCTTCTTGTGGGTTGGTGGTTCTTTCCTTGGATTTCCCGGTTTCTTCCTCCACCGTTAATGCTGGCTGCCATGTGTAGCCTATCAAATGCTGAAAAATGGCATTAAGCCCCACATCAACAACAACTTTATCCATGAATATACATGCAAAGCTTGGAAGGGGAGGGCTACGTTCAATTTAACCTGCCTTAAAGGTTATCTTTATTAGGAAATATGTACGGTACAATAGACTAGCCCTAGTACTGTAGCAAGCATGTCTTGATATGTATGGTACAGCAGTCTAGCTCTAGTACTTTAGCATGCACATGTCTTGATATGTATGGTACAGCAGTCTAGCTCTAGTACTGTAGCATGCATATGTCTTGATATGTATGGTACAGCAGTCTAGCTCTAGTACTGTAGCATGCACATGTCTTGATATGTATGGTACAGCAGTCTAGCTCTAGTACTGTAGCATGCACATGTATTGATATGTATGGTACAGCATTCTAGCTCTAGTACTGTAGCATGCACATGTCTTGATATGTATGGTACAGCAGTCTAGCTCTAGTACTGTAGCATGCACATGTCTTGATATGTATGGTACAGCAGTCTAGCTCTAGTACTGTAGCATGCACATGTCTTGATATGTATGGTACAGCATTCTAGCTCTAGTACTGTAGCATGCACATGTCTTGATATGTATGGTACAGCAGTCTAGCTCTAGTACTGTAGCATGCACATGTCTTGATATGTATGGTACAGCAGTCTAGCTCTAGTACTGTAGCATGCACATGTCTTGATATGTATGGTACAGCATTCTAGCTCTAGTACTGTAGCAAGCATGTCTTGATATGTATGGTACAGCAGTCTAGCTCTAGTACTGTAGCATGTACATGTCTTGATATGTATGGTACAGCATTCTAGCTCTAGTACTGTAGCATGCACATGTCTTGATATGTATGGTACAGTCTTTGCTTTGATGTTGATGGTACAGCAGGCTAGCTCTAGTACTGTAGCAAGCATATCCCTTATGCTACAGCGGACTAGCTCTAGTACTGTGGCATGCACATGCCTTGATATGTACAGTATAGCAGGCAAGTTCTAGTAGAGCTAGTAGTATAATGCATCTAGAGTAATACATCAAGGCCAAAAATATTGTCCACCCAATGATACTCTTGTTTGTGCTGTTAACTGTTTTAACAATGTTCTAATATTGGTTTGATGATAAAAACTGAGTTATAAGACCAGACTGACGTGAAGAGAAAAACAGGTATAAGACCAGACTGATGAAACAAGAAAGAGAGATATATAACCAGACTGACTACTAATTGAAGATAAAAAAGTTGAAGATAAAAAGGTGGGGGTCAGAATAGGCATTTACAAAGGAAGTATTCTTCATCAAAAACACCAACTGTACTGTCACAAATTACAATTTACCATGATTGTAATAAAAAATGTTTTCTGGAGTATTTGGTGACACTTGTATTCAAGATGGATTTATTTGATCTCCAGTTTTTGTAACAACAGATAATGGCAGTAGCAATAGTTTTATCTTTTCTTTATATTTACTTATGCCATATTTTATAGTATACTCACCAACTATATATCTATGCCATATTTCATATTATAATCTCCATGTACATATTGATGCCACATTTCATATTCTCACCAAATACATAATGATGCCATATTTCATATTATACTCACTAAATATATATCTATGCCATATGTCACATTATAATCTCCATGTACATATTATACTCACCAAATACATACACAGCCTCTAATTATGCATTTAATTCCATGTTAAAACATGGCCGACCACAGGTACATGTATCAAGCAGCATGGCAGGTAGTGATAAACAGTGACAGCATGATTTTGGAAGGAAATTTAAAAAATGCATTCCTATAAAATGTTGTTTGCCTAAAAAGGGCTTGTTTGGCAAATTTTCTTTTCTGATTTCCAAGCATTGGAAAGTTGGTTTTTCATTTGGTAATGTCACAGCAAATAATTGGCTTATGCCCAGAATATTCAGGCTTTGATGTTTATTATTTTTGCATTAAGAACAAGTCATCATTATCCATTAAGTATCCCTGTGCCAGTGTGTGATATACATGTAAAGTCAATAATATCTACTATGTAACCCTGAACCAGTGTGAGATATGAAGATGACACTATTTAACATTGCATATCTCGACATAAAATCATCTGCCAGTGAGCATGGATGAAATTAATGGTTCACGTTAACATCACAATCACTGACCCATGTGCAAGGCTTAAGTCAATGGTATGCCTTGACATCACAATCACTGACCAATGTGCAAGGCTTAGGTCAATGGTATGCCTTGACATCAAAATCACTGACCCATGAGCAAGGCTTAGGTCAATGGTATGCCTTGACATCAAAATCACTGACCCATGTGCAAGGCTTAAGTCAATGGTATGCCTTGACATCAAAATCACTGACCCATGTGCAAGGCTTAAGTCAATGGTATGCCTTGACATCAAAATCACTGACCCATGTGCAAGGCTTAAGTCAATGGTATGCATTGCCATCAAAATCACTGACCCATGTGCAAGGCTTAAGTCAATGCTATGACTTGACATCAAAATCACTGAACCATGTGCAAGGCTTAGGTCAATGGTATGCCTTGACATCAAAATCACTGACCCATGTGCAAGGCTTAAGTCAATGGTATGCCTTGACATCAAAATCACTGACCCATATGCAAGGCTTAAGTCTATGGTATGCCTTGACATCAAAATCACTGACCCATGTGCAAGGCTTAAGTCAATGGTATGCCTTGACATCAAAATCACTGACCTATGTGCAAGGCTGAAATTAATGGTACACCCTGATATCAAAATCACTATTCCAAGCGCAAGGATGGAGTTGATGATTCATCGATGACCCATGTGCAAGGCTGAAGTCATTTATTCATCTTGACATCAAAATCACTGACTCTTTTATATGGCTGAAGTCAATAGTAAGTGTGATATTTTTTGTCTTTTTATCACTCAAAGACTGTTTCAGACAAGATGAACCATCATACTTCATGACTTGCAGGTATGTTCAATACAACCACGTTCCATATTAAAGGTAAAGTAACACAATGTATATTTTTTTACTCTGAAACTTGGAAACAGTTTGATATTGACAATGAAAAAGCATTTATACATCATTGGAGAATGTGTATGGTACCTAATTCATGGTTCTACTTCAAGGCCAAGGGTAAGTAATCCTTCATTAAATTTTATCAATGACTGCTAGGCTTCACACATAAGAAAATATTTAGCAAAAGCTTGTTTGTTGTGTCTTATCTCTATTAGTGTACAAGTGATAAA